TGAAAACTAAATCTACAGTAATACGTTCGTGCAAGAAAAAAGACATATTCTGGAATTGCAGGAACGTTGATAATGGAATTTCCAAGAAAAAAGGGTGACATTTACACTGAGCAAATGTCTCTGTTGATTTGATAGAGGAGAACAGCCACGTTTCGAGACATGAAATATTGCTTTTCTTAATGTTATTGTGCAGAATGCAATTTAAGCATCATAGAAATAGTGTGTTGTATGATTTATTAACCTGTACATGCTAACTTTCTACTATAAAATTCATATATCAATCATCATGGCCCCTGAGATCTTCATTTGATGGACAAGGTATTGTGGACTCCAAAATGAAAATAGGTCAATTCATGGCAGTCTGTTTGAACTTTCCTTGAAATGAGGTGGGAATGTTGTGAAGAGATTGTCATCCCACTGGTGCCGCTGGTCACTTGAAATGGTCATCAATGATGGCAGTGCCAGGTATCATGCAGAGCTCCAGATAAGCCTTTGGTGTTGTGGGTATTTTACCCATGCATTTTAAAATCATTGGGTATCAGTAATTCTATCTGGGTATTCAAATTTCTGTTACCAACAAGTTTTTACACATGTGGGTATTTAAGTTAAATATTTAAAAACACTATTCATCTAGTCCCTGCAAACTGGTGTCGTATGGGTTCGAGAGCTTTATAGGACTCAAAAATACCACGATACTTCCACAAGAAAGTGTGATGGCAAATGATCATGATGTAACTGTCATCGTGGAGTTTGGCAAGGTTGACGGAATGCCCGTTTATAATTTCTAAATAAGTTGCTGATTTGCTAATCGAATACGCAGGGCTACTTCACAATATTTTGATGATATGCACAAGTTTTATTTTTGTAGCGTATCTGTAATGTTTGTTGTGTATTTGATACGCTTGGATTTTATTTTACTGCGTATTTCTGCATTTCTGATGCGTATTTTACGCAGATACGCAGCTTATCTGGAGCTCTGATCATGGCCATCAGATGGCTTGTGTAGATACATGTGTATGTAGGTATGTGGTCTCCTGGCAAATGGTTCTTCACTCACTCACTCACTCACTCACTCTTCCTAATCAACATGGGGCGGTCGGGTAGCCTAGTGGTTAAAGCGTTCGCTCGTCACGCCGAAGACCCGGGTTCGATTCCCGACATGGGTACAATGTGTGAAGCCCATTTCTGGTGTCCCCCGCCGTGATATTGCTGGAATATTGCTAAAAGCGGCGTAAAACCATACTCACTCACTCACTCACTCACCTAATCAACATAATAATTTCTACATGCACTGACAGCTTTATGCTCATCATACTTGAATGTCTCAGATGTACATTGTGGCCAGGCAAGCTGTTAAAGCATTGTTTTGTCATGCTGAAGAGCTGGGCTTGACTCCCCACATGGATATAATGTGGGAACCAATTCCAGGAGTACCGGTACTCCTACAGGAATATTGTGTAAAGCCAGACATGTCACTCACTCATCCACAGGCTCCAATGTGCATCATCAAGGTCCTGCTACAGCAGAAGCAGACACTCAAGATAGAATCAGCTGGGCAAATAGTCACCACTGATGGCTAAGATGTAATGTTTTTGACAGACTGTAGCCATTACAGCATTACAAAGTGATGCGAACATTTGATCAACCACTTGTAGACGACATCACGGTAGTGGAGGTGCAGTGTTTTCCACTCTGTGTCTCAAGTATGTCAGCCCCCGGCATTATATAGGGATAACAGACCCCTTGACCTCCCCAGCAGATTCTTTATCCAGTTTGATATAACTTCATTGGTGTCAAGTACGAGTTTCAAAATTCCTGGGTTATTTTCCCCTTTACAACTACCTTCAATTCCTCAAGCCTCTTCAATAGAGACAATAGTGCAGTGTTTTTGCCAATTTTGTGTTTAAATTGGCCAAATAGTATTAACATTTAACATTTAACAGTTTGCCAAATTAGTGTGGTTGATGTGGTCATGGAAAGCAACACTTACTCTCAGGAGTCCCGCTAATGTTTTTGGTCTCACCAACTGATTAATCGTCTCCAATAATTTGTTTTCGTCCCTGGTGTCAAGCCTTATAAAGAAGAGTGACGTTGTGTAAGGAAGAGTGTCAGTATTTCAGGCGGTTGTTTGTTTTTGCTTCGGATGTTAGAGTTTTGGAGACATGAAACGATTAAATAACAAACAGATGAGTTAATCTTCCCCTTCTTTTCCGAGGCCGACTGTGTTTGGCGTTTCAGGTTGTGTGTGGGAGAAGTGCATGACTTGAAGACTAACAGCTTCCTGGTTATGTACAATCGATGCGTGCATCCCACGTTATGTTACAATGGCACTGAATTGACTGAAAAAATACTGAATTATCCAATATCCCGTTGACGATAGATGTTGTCACAGAAAGCTTTCTTCACCGCCAGCAAAATAACCATAATTTTGCAATCATTTGATAGATCCCACATACAGGTTTTATGTTTATAGTGAATTCTAGGACAGTGACAATTTTTAAGAATATTAATTGGCAATACTGGTATATCTTTCTTTTCTGAATAAGATCCCAGACATTTAAAATGATGCATTTGCAATGGCAGAGTGACAAATATAAATGGATTTAATATCATAGATTACTTTGAATGACTTTATTGCCACCTGCTGAAGCATCATCACTTAGATAAAATTTACTTCAGCTTGAGATATGATTGAACAGAAAGAGGTGATTTTGTGCTGTAATGGATTACACAAATTTCTTCTTGACACTAATCAGCAAATGGCTTCTTAAGTGGATAAGATAAATCTTCTGATTCTCGAAAGTCTTAGGCCAGTTTATTGGTCACATATATACATGGGTTCTCGTTTCTGGAGGTTCTTTGCAGAAATAGTTGAGACTTCTTAACCAAAGATGACAAGAGGCAAGTGTGTGCATCTCTCCTGTGTTTAACTGAGTGGATTAGTAGACTGGTGAGTCAGGGAGGAATTCTCACTGGACAAAATGGGAGGTGTTTTGGTATTAGGATGTTGTCAACTGACTTGCCGTACTTCAGACCCCTCACTGAACATTGATTTTTTTTTAATGAGGGAGAAAATTACATCTCGAGTGCGTGGCGAGGACAAGTTTTTCTGCTTCAAGCTGAAGTGTGATAGGCCGTCCCTGCCACAAGCGATTGAATATCCCGAATGATTTACCCTCTATCAAAATGTTACGTTTTCACTGGGGGAAAATGAGCAACGTGGTGTTGTAGAGTTTATTTATGAGTTTGGGTCAATCTGCTCAATTCAGCTGCTCCCTTAACTGTATAATCGGCTTAGCATGCTTGGAAATCAAAGAATTTCTTGGATCAATTTGATCAAGGAAAATCTGAGAGTGTGGTCATTTGAGAGTCGGAAAAAGTTGATAACCTCATTTGTAAAGCAGATACAATGTAGGGAATCTAATCCCTGGGCAATTAAGAGTTTTTTCTCCTGCCACTTTGATGGAAGATTGAGTCAGCCAAGACATTTAAGTTTTTAGATCGAGGAACATTTCTTCTTAAACTGGTACAATCATGTTCTTTGATTTGATCTGTACGGATAACATTTGTGACATATGCAGCTCTTGCAGTGACAGAGTTTTGGCGAGTGCTCCTCATGGATGATTCCAAATGTCAGTCATAAACTCTCACATCTGATGAAAACCACATGGTCGGCTTCCTGGATATAAATCCATATTTGACTGGAGCTCCCATCTCCGTGTGACATCCATGTGGAGCAGCCGGCTCTGATTGTTTCTGATGTCAGAGATGGGAAGCCTAAGATAGCAGTTTACACAGTAAGAGGACACCATTGACAGGAAGAGAACCCAGTGTAGGACTAGCAAGGTGATTACATGCTGCTAGGATTACAGTGTCTCAGTCTGCTCACTGCTGGTATATACGGCTGTTGGAGGTAGTGTACGGGAGGTGTATACGGAGATGTAACGCTGGAGGTGATTGCTGATAATGATGTCAGATCAGTGCGGAGGGTTATGTCAGGAGTTACAGCTACAGAATCGGTTGGCTTTGTTTGACTCGGCGGCTGATAAGGTCAATTGTGATGTGATTAGCCTGGAGCATGTATGAGGACAACTTACCTGCTACTCCTAGCCTTCAGAGCATATAGTGCCACAGGCCGAGGTTATTTCTGGGTGCTGAGAAAGTCGAAACAAGTTTTGTATTTTCATTTTTATCTGGATATTGTGATTGGATATCAATCTGGAAATATGACTTAAAACATGAGCATATACAAGATTTTTCAATTGTGGATGACAAACTTTCATGTCCCGGAATACACCTGATTCTGGAAGAAGAAGTTAGCTTTGATGTTTTAAGCATTCTTGATTGACAAAAGGACTTTTTACGGTTTTTCATCATTTACAGAATGTACAATTATTTTTGAGTGATTTTGAGTTCAGGTGTTTATTTCTACTTACATGAAGATACCATATTGACTTTAAGTGTTTTGTCATGTGAACAGACATCAATGTGCCTGAGAACGTTTGTGCATGACTGGCTAGACCCAGCAGGCCCCGTGGACATGCAGCTCACGGAATGATGGTGCTGATTAGAGAGTGACAACATCAACAACTATGTTGTAGCACTCGCTGTCAATCAGAGTGTTTGATACCTGTGTATTTAATTATGGGAAGGACTCGCCCTGTGTTGTGGAGATGTGGTTGTGTGAGGACTGTGTCCTGATGGTGAATATGCAGCTGCTGTTGATGGCTGACGTTGTCACTGTAACAGAAAACCTGGGAGGGAGACACGATCAAGGAAATGTTCCCTCTCTGATTCATGATGGACTAAAATAAGGTTATCTGAGGCTGTTGTTATTAATAACGGCAACAGTCAATAGGAAAATATGTTCATGGATACCATGACTAACATTATTAAACAGCCGTGGCAATTTTGAAATGTTCATTGTGACATTTACCTAATGGACATGAATAAAAGTGTATATTTTCACAAGTGATGTCAGCAATGAAATTTTTCTCCAGACTTCTGGACAAGGTACAGACGGAGCCTGTTCTACGAGAAGATGGCCGCCGCTTTGTTGTATCAGTCACTAATCTCCTGGAAAAGCTTCTCGACTACAGGTAAGACAACTTTTTCAATTTATGGGGGGGGGTAGCCTCGTGCTCAAAGCAGACTGGGTACAATGTGCTCTCACTCACTCACTCACTCACTCACTCACTCACTCACACCACCCAGACCCGTGAAGATTCCGGGGTAGAATAGGTCTTCAGCAACCCATGCTTGCCGTAAACAGTGACAATGCTTGTCATAAGAGACGACTAACGGGATCGGGTGGTCAGGCTCGCTGACTTTGTTGATGCATGTCATCGATCCCATTTTCCTGGATCGATGCTCATGATATTAATCACTGGATTGACTGGTCCAGACTTGATTATTTACAGACCGCCGTCATATAGCTGGAAAATTGCTGAGTGCGGCGTTAAACAACAAACCAACCAATCTGACCACCCCATCCTGATGAATTGGCTTCAGTCAAGGATGGGTACTGGAGACCTCGTCTGTGCTACAATCTCCAGTTACAGGGACCTTAGAACTGTTACTCTCACAGGTATTGAGAAATGGTTATAAAAACTCATGTAGCAACACGGTTTATCACAGATCATTCCACAATTTGCTGTTCCTATTCACATAAGTGAATTATAAGAAATAGTTCTATTCTGGAAACACTTTTAACCTCTGTAAGCCTCTGCTGCTGAGCCCACACAGTAACACCCACAGTGTCATTAATGTCTCTGTCTGCACAGTTGATAAAGCAGATTGGTGTAAGCCCGTGGGATAATACCGGGGAATACGACAAGATTATGGTCCTGTCGGGAACTGAATGGTCATGATTGACGTAGTTGTTTATTCCTGTAGACGTGGTCTTGTATCATGTCTAGCAGCAACAACACTGACATTGACTGGAATCAACTTGCTTGTCAAATTGATATGTAAAAAAAGCACAGGAATACATAGCTTTTAAAAAAGTATATATTAATAAAATATTGACCCATGTCTCCTTTGGCCTCGTAGGATAAATGGGTAAATATATTTTTTATATATATTTTTAATATATGTTTTATATACATATTTTTTTAAAGCTACGTATTCCTGTTGCCAAAGTTAAGATACGTGATCCTGTTTCAGTCAGAATGTGAAGTTTTTAGTGTGTTTGAAATGTATTATGAGTTCCTTGGGGGTAACTCCTTAAACTGAGAATGTTCCAAGGAGTGTAAAGTCTTCATGCAAGGCTACATAACCTGTGAAGATTCCGGGGTAGAATAGGTCTTCAGCAACCCATGCTTGCTGTAAAAGGTGACTATGCTTGTTGTAAAAGGCGACTAACGGGATTGGGTGGTCAGGCTCGCTGACTTGGTTGATGCATGTCATCGGTCCCAATTGCGTGGATCGATGCTCATGATGTCAATCACTGGATTGTCTGGACCAGACTTGATTATTTACAGACCGCCATCATATAGCTGGAATATTGCTGAGTGCGGCGTCAAACAACAAACCAATCAATCATGCAAGGCTACAAAAATTAGGTTTGATGGTCGCTAATGGGATTGGGTGGTCAGACTCGCTGACTTGGTTGATACATGTCATTATATCCCAATTGCTCGAGTCTCATGATGTCAATTACTGGATTGTCTGGTCCAGATTCTATTATTTACAGACCGCCATCATATAGATGGAATATTGCCTAGTGAGGCTTTAAAGAACATACAAACAAACAAAACAAAATGAACACATTGGCTCTGTGAGGGCACGGTACGCCAATAGGCCTGCAGTTTGCTGTGCAGCATTGTGTCCCTAAGGTGTGCCAGAGTCGTCAGCATCTGTGACATGCATCAATTGGGGCAACCCTCCAACATCTTTTTGACATGCCGGGATATTCCTGAAAGTCGTTGACACACAGTGATATAACTGAACATAGCTTACACACAGTGACACATCACTGCGATACTGTTTGGTGTTGAACCCAACTCCTTCGTCGTATAGTAAGACAGAAGCACCATTCTCTTGCTCACTCCAAAAATATCATGCTGGTTATTTACTAGTTACATATGTGGATTAGTTTCAGAGTTGAAAACATTGAAATTGTTTACCAGTATTAGTGGTTTTGTTAACTTCAGTTTAAATTGGGGGCATTTGCAGTCTTGACATCTAAGGGATGCAAATTGTCATGATTGATGGGTCAAATCACGGATTAGTAGATACTTGGTTTGTCACTGCCATACCTGAGCTGACAGGTTTCACCACACAGTGACATACCTCACCCGACAGGTTTCACCACACAGTGTCATACCTGAGCTGACAGGTTTCACCACATAATGACATACCTGAGCTGACAGGTTTCACCACATAGTGACATACCTCACCCAATAGGTTTCACCACACAGTGACATACCTCACCCGACAGGTTTCACCACATAGTGACATACCTGAGCTGACAGGTCTCACCACAGAGTGACATACCTCACCCAACAGGTTTCACCACATAGTGACATACCTGAGCTGACAAGTTTCACCACACAGTGACATACCTGAGCTGACAGGTTTCACCACATAATGACATACCTGAGCTGACAGGTTTCACCACACAGTGACATACCTCACCCAACAGGTTTCACCACACAGTGACATACCTTAGCTGACAGGTTTCACCACTTAGCGCCATACCTCACCCGACAGGTTTCACCACATAGTGCCATACCTGAGCTGACAGATTTCACCACTTAGCGCCATACCTCACCCGACAGGTTTCACCACATAATGACATACCTGAGCTGACAGGTTTCACCACACAGTGACATACCTCACCCAACAGGTTTCACCACACAGTGACATACCTTAGCTGACAGATTTCACCACTTAGCGCCATACCTCACCCGACAGATTTCACCACATAATGACATACCTGAGCTGACAGGTTTCACCACACAGTGACATACCTGAGCTGACAGGTTTCACCACATAGTGTCATACCTGAGCTGACAGGTTTCACCACATAGTGACATACTTGAGCTGACAGGTTTCACCACATAATGACATACCTGAGCTGACAAGGTTTCACCACATAATGACATACCTGAGCTGACAAGGTTTCACCACATAGTGACATACCTGAGCTGACAGGTTTCACCACATAGTGTGATACCTGAGCTGACAGGTATGCATCACTTAGGGTTGTCCTCCCACAATTAGCAGATATGCCAGGATATAGCTGAAACTGTTAAAATCAAGGCTAAACCCAACTCACCCAAGTGTTACTTAATGGAATCGGTTTACCTGATATGTGTTTGTTGTCTTGTTGTCAGACAAGTGTGTCATTGTTTAGGAATACTCTTTGACTGAGTTCATGTTAACAGTTAAATCCAACTCACTCACCCAAGTGTTACTTAATGGAATCGGTCAGATACGTGTGTCATTGTTTACCAATATACTCAATGAGTGAGTAGACAGTTCATGTTAGCTGTTCTTGCTGGTGTAGTGGTGGAATGGGGTTTAACGTCGCGTCCAAGATTATTGCACTTATATAGCGACGTGCGTGTACGTGTGTGTGTTTGTGTGGCTGCTTGTACTGACTCCGAGCCGACCAGTCCTTGTTTTAGCCCCTTAATGCTGAGCACCAGACAGGGTAACAACAAGTACCATCTTTTAACGTCTTTTGGTATGACGCGGCCGGGGATCGAACCCCGGACCCTCCGCTCTCCGGGCGGACGCTCTACCTCTAGACCACGGAGGCGGTCCTTGCTGGTGTAGACTTCATCCAATTGTAAATCTGGTTCCGACAGCTGATTCAAGTCTTGCTGGAGCCATCAAGCAGAAGGAAGTCAGTAAATTACACACGTAATGGCCGCTGTAATTTGAAGTCATTGTTATCAGCAGCAGCTGTTTCTGTGATGTAGCCATGTTATATGCGGTCTCCAATTACTGGAAGGAAGGATGATGATGCTTGGTCCAGTCGGGTCACTCTTGTCTATAATGAAGTCTGAATCTGGGAGAACCTGATCTCATGACCCCAGTTCAAACATTCCCCAAAGCAATGGTGGTGCAACAAGTCATTAAAACCATATTCTTTAAAATTGACCTTGTTGGGTCCTGACTCGGTTGTTTGCAGGCCGCTGTCATGTGGCTAGAGTATTGCAGAGCTAGGCAGCAAACAAACAAACAAACAAACACTTACCTTTTTAATGACAATTGTGTGATTGTGTGTGTTTCAAGTGTTACTGATAGAGCAGGACATGCTTACCCTTTTCGTGAACACCTTTTCACTTCATCACTGATTTTCAGGCATCCGTTTATATACTCTTCATTACTTTTTTGCCTTTTTAGCCCTAAGGAATCTGTTTGGGCAGATGTTCAAGACTGATTATTCTCTGGCATTGACGTTTTGAATTGTATTAATCATAGTGCAGTATCTGCTTTTTGAAATGGCAGAATAAATCAGGATGTCCAAAGCCAGAATTTCTTTTTGTACATAAATAGGATGCAATGTCAGACTCCCTCCCCTCTCCCTCCCCCCCCCCCCCCCCCCCTCCCCTCCCTTCCACTCCACTCCACTCCACTCCACTCCACTCCACTCCACTCCACTCCACTCCACTCCAGCCCAGCCCGCCCCGCCCCGCCCAACCCCACTCCACTCCACTCCCCTCCCCTACCCTCCACTCCACTCCACTCCACTCCACTCCACTCCACTCCACTCCACTCCACTCCACTCCACTCCACTCCACTCCACTCCACTCCACTCCCCTACCCACGCTCTGATATATTTTCCAGTTACATATTTGAGTGACTGCATCAACACCATTTATAGGACTATGTCAGTGTATGCAAAGAAATGAAATGTGAAACGTTTCAGTTCAATGTGTCAAAAAAGCAGGAAATGGGATATTTGTTTTGACTGAAATATATCCAGTTAGACTGTTAATCACAGTGTATCGTTTCCTGTGAACTACAAGTTCATAAGACAATATGGATACACACAGTTTCATCATTTTAATTGTGTCCTTCCCAGCAGTGGGTGTCAAATGTGTCCAGATTAACAGGGTTTCAGGAATAGGGCCACCATTTTCAC